CTGGTTAAACAAAATAGATAGAAAAATGATTAAATTTTTGTAGAATCACACTGCAGTTAAAGGCCTGGCGTATGGATTGTTTCCAATGCCATGTGAGACCCACGTTATGTAAACTTTTCCCGCGAGCGAGATACTAAAATTTAAACTACGACCTTAATCTCTTCCATTATGTAATTTTCGAAAATAAATTTTATGATCAGCGTGTTCTGCGTAAAGTTTTGATGAGAAAACAGGACTTGTAGAAGTTAAATTCTCATCCTGTCTAGTGGTTGATTTGAATCAAAGAGAGATGAACCAGGTCTTATTTTGGAGAAATAGAGCAAGAAGTGCTTTCACGCTTCATTCGTCGTATATTTGTTCCTGTCGTTAATAAATTCAAAATCGACAAAAATTATTTTTAGTGATGAAATTAACGTTGCACTTTGTCTCCAACATTGAGTCTTGTGGAGGAGCATGAGCAGAACTGCAGAAGAGGGGCATAGAAAAACCTCCTTTGCCACATCAAAGGAATGTGATGGACATTGCATAATCATAGTGTGACATATTTTCACCCGTGACATTGTGATTCGATCATTTTTTCGGCACGAGCAGTTCAAAATGTCTCCTGAGACGGCTCAATTTCTTATAATTTGCCCAGAGAGGCCCCCGGACTGCGGACTCCCCATTGAGGATAGGGAAATATTCCGACCTTTCTTTCCACGCTTACGGGACTCTCTTCAATTCACTTTGGTAGAATGTTTTATAGTACTCCTCAAGATTCTTCTTGGTGGGATGCTCTTTGCTCCTTCACCCACAAAAATTTTTTCGCAAAGCCCTTGTGAAGGAATACATTTTCGCACCTCTTTTCCTCGATTCAACTATGACATAATTTGGTTATTTTCTGTTAAGCTCGATCCAGTCTGTCTATCACCAACTGAATTGTCGTTTTTCGAGAATCCCCTCATAGGCTGACGTCATTCAATACGAACTTACCGTAGGAAATTCCATTCTGGTTGAACAAATGACATGCATTATCCAACAATCGCAAATGCGTACTTCACAGATAGTGAATCTAAATAAATTGAGGTGTGCATCAACGCAATGCACCATCGACTTCAATCATGCTTGTTCAATAACAACGCCTGCCAGAAGAATATTTCGGACTGCATTTTGAAATAAGGAACAACCATTTCTGTCTAATTTCATAAACAACGTCTGCTCCATTACTTTTCGCTATGCAGATGGTGCGCTCTTATGGATGAACCAGAATTAGCAGTTCCTTATTGTAATATCAGAGTTTTATGATGTTAAAATTTACCTAAAGTTTTTTCTGTGACATATGCATAAATGCAAAATAATTAGATCATGGAAGCAGGCCATTATCAGATTGTCGAAAAAGGTTATAGACGGGGCTACTTCAGGTGGGCGTCGCGTCGTTGAGGACGTCTAGCTGAAGGATGGATAGGTGGTATCACAAATGAAATGGAAAGATACCAGTCATAGGTGGATTCAGACACTTTGAACGGAGAAAGGGGGCGGACGAGGGGTCTAGAAGGCTTCCCCCAAAAAATTTTCAATATTTTAAAGCATCTAATTTGCAGTTTCAGTCAATTTTGCCATGAATAATTACCAAATACAATCGACCTTCCGTCTTCTTTCCCCCGTTCCTCCCTCCTTTCTTCCTCCTGTTTTTCGGGCGCCCCCATGCTAACTCCACCCCCCCCCCCAGATCTACCTATGATAACAGCTTCCGGGCAATTTCTACCCTGAAGAATTTGAGAATAGGGGTTGGGTATCGCAGAGTAACGTAGTGCACTGTAAAATCGATATATTCATACATACATAAGATCATGTCAACTAAGCTTATTTTCTGTCGTAGAATTGCGATGTCTTAGTTTTCTTGCCCTCTTCCGCACACCTCCACCCACGTAAAGCTCTGGATATCACGTCACGAAGCGTAAGTATTTCTCACTAAATCATTGTGCATGGCCGGAAACTGAGCGACTGATGAAGTCGCCAAAGATTCTCCGCCACAGGTGTCGCAATGAAAAATGCGCAGACTAATAAATGGAGGAAAATGATATATTAATAGCCGAGTGAGTTCTTACAAAAGCTGCGCAGCTGTAGGTGAGTTTTTATGACTGAATGCGCTTGCTCCGCTGGCCAAGCTCCAAACAGCAGTTGACCCCTGAGTGCTTTAGATGACACGATGAGTATTCAGCATTTTAGATCCATCCGTTGTTGCCAATTAGTGCCGAATAGAAATTATGGCGAGTCAAAAAATTAGATTTGGGGGGGCTTGGAGGACAAGGCGCATAAGTGCAGTTTTTGAAAAAATTCAGATATCAATGATTTCAAGCGAAACTAGCCTCAATGCAGACCCTGTGAAAAATTTTCTCCCAAATTCTGCATTTTAAGCACTAAAAAGTCAGTTTAAACTTTCTTTCCACTGTGAGGCTCCATGTAATTTCGAAACTTCAAACACGTATTTCTCGAAATAGCAAACAAGTACTAATGCGCTTTGTCCCCCGAGCTCCTTATTTGGCTGGATTTATTTGGATTAAAATAGCTCAATTTGTTGAGGAAATATAACCTGATCTTTGGTCATACAAACAATCTTCGTAACCTTCACACAATTTGCTTCTCATGGTTTATTTTTACAACAAAAACTAAAGGCAACATAGTGTCGTAAACTTTAAATTTATTACGGATCATACAGGAGGAACTCTCTTTTCACTTTAAAATATACTTTAATTTTTTTTTAGGAATTAAAACTATAACTTTAGAGGAAATTAAGCAATGCAGTTAAAGTGATTTTGGTTCAGTAGATCTAAATAAATCGTAAGATTATTGTAAAATGTCTTGCTTAAAATTGTAGTCTGCAAATTTCGTCAAAGCTTTTGTTTTCCCTGTATCTACCATGGGAAACCCAGAGTACCTGTATGCGGGACGGTATTGCCATCACAGAAAAAGTGTGCCACTCTCTGATTGGTCGGCTATCATGGAACCCCAAAGTTGGACCAATGTAAACTAACAAGATGGCGACAAGGTTCTACAAAGTTCTAGACGTGATTTTGGATGTGATAGAAATCTTTTTATGATCAACTTCTGAATTGAGTTTGGATCGACCTTAAATGGATATTTTTGCCGAAAATTAAGCTTTGAGTGTGATTATCACTCATTTTTCAGCCGACAATACGTACGAGTTCCTCTGGGTCGAGATTGTTTGTATTGATCTTACTTTGGAGCTCCATGATAACCTGAAACTGATGAACCAATCAGAGAGCGGCACAAAGATGGCAGCACTCTCCCGTAGACAGGTACTCTAGGGAAACCAAAAAATTATAATCAATCTACTTAATTTTTCTGTGAAAGAATTGAATTTTATTTATCTTTTTTAGAGGAACGACCAAGTGCTGAAATATAATTTTGCAACTCTAAAGTTATTGGAAGCTACACTTACCATCCCCAAAGGTCACTCAGAGCTTCTAAAGCTTCAATAAATCTCACAAAGGGAAAATAGAATGACGTCAACATACTTAAAACATAGGATAACTTCCTATTTGCAGTCCCAAGTTCTGACCTCTCTTTAACATGGTTATTCAGCGATATTTCCACCGACTGGCAGATATTTCTGGTATCTTACAATGTAATGTATTTAAATCACTGAAAATGGAATATGAATTACGTTTGGCCAACCATTGCTGTAATTGATAAAATCATCAAAAGCATTTGCAGTCATACCTCAATTTGAACAATATGAACTAGGATGTTCTAGGGCGCCAAATGTCCCTTTCATAAAAGTCCAGCCTTTTGTCGTTTCAGTAATTTTCTTACGAACCTGTAGTTTTACATTTCCTTTTAAATTATGTATCGCCGTTCTTGAGGAAACATTAAAAACTCCAGATTATTACGGAGGATCACTCTTGGAGGATCTAATAATTGATATTTGCCAACGATGAAAAGCGGAAAGCGTGAAGTTGCATAACTCTCGTCATTCGTGCTTGCTTATGCTAAGTACACAAATCTCTAAGGTCACGTTAACCCTTGGGCGTAACCTTTGGCTCCATAAGTAGCCTGAACAAGTATATCTCACGGAGAAAAGTATTAGTGTCGTCTCAAAAAGTTAATCCACTTGATGGTTGCCTCTTATCACATGAGACAATTTTACGGTATTCCGTTTAAATATTTTCAGGATTTGGTGAATTTTTTGGATGGATGACTTTTTCATCACCGAGAGAAATTGGACCAATCAGAATTGAGTATCTAATTTTTAACCAAATTATAAGGAAAACGGGCAAAATTCCAGATTAGGTTCAAATAAGCGCGCCAATTGGCAAATGCAACACGACTTAATCAAATATTTAAAATAAACAAATTATAATACAAATATGCAAAAATATGTGCATTTTTTACTTTTTACTTCATAACCATCACCGTTGCCTACGAGAATAGAGAGGCCGTAACTACGATTCTGTGACGTCACGCTAGTAGATGAAACTTGGGCGCGATTTAACATGTGCTCATATGGAAGAACGCATGACACATGTTCCTTTTGTAGTATCATTTCAGGGGTTGATCTGATTCAAAAAATTCATAAGAATTATATAAGCCTCATTTTTTAACACAGATGTGTTGACTAAAGTAGTTTCTGTCAACATCAAGAAAGGAAAGTAGTAGAAGAGATCCCGCACGTATACTTCAAAATAATTTTATAGATATGTTGCAAATTTGGAGACTTTAACACAAGGGTAGAAAAAAAGTCGCTACGATCGCATCACATCGACAATGCTGAGACTAATATTCTATTCTTCAAGTTAGGTATCGGTGCAACATTCTAGGTGAAATTTGCAACAGGTCCATTATTCAACAGCCTTATAACTTTTGTTTAAAAACTAGATGTTTTGATTCCGTTTTACCTTGCAGAAAATAATGAACTTCCCCTCAGAAGGAGATGAGTTTTTAGTTCAAGGTTGAGTTTTTTAAACAGATATGAGTGTAAATTGATTACTAAACTAATAATTAGAGTGTAAAAAATTTAATCCGAGTATTTACATCACTTAACAACTAGAAAAATAAACACTAAACTTAATATCTAGGACTTTTTTGCAGCAATAGGTAACTGGTGAATATATGAACACTTTTGTTCATCAGACTTTGAGACAACCAACCTTAACACAATTTAAAGATTGGCAATGAGAGAATACGAGGGCCTGCACTACCCTTCAATCGGCAGAAACGGTGGTAAGGATCCCTAAAAAACTATAATGCCATGAAAATCCATCTTTTAACAACATCTTTCCTCGACATCTTTTTAAGTATCAATTTGCTGAGTGGGAAAAAAGTCGTTTCGATCTAGTGTCGAGACTTTTAAAAACATTGATAAGGAAATAAATATTCTTGATTCAATCGAAATTTTGCTCGAATCAAAAGGAAATCCGCCCAAATCAAGAGTCTCAGCTCTTCGAATCAAGAGGAAAAATAGGATTGAATTAAAGTGTATTTTCTTGTCAATGTTATTAAGAGTCTGGACTCTAGATCTAAGCTACTTTTTTTTCCAGCGAAGCGCTTTTCTTCCTCTTAAAGTTCGACTGGTAGCGAAACTTTGATAACTTTTCTATCGAATGGATAATCATAGCTTTTGGGAACTTTTGAAGAGCGCTTATTCGGCTCGAAAATTACTGCTGGTATCTCCCGTTGTAGTTTTCCGTTACTGCGTTTGTGTTGATGTCTCCAGCTGGCTTGGGTTTCCTGGCTTCTGCTTCCTGTAAAAATTAATAGACCGTCAATTTAAAAGAGTTCGCACACTCGGATGTGGAGGGCAAAATTTGAAATTCTTACGGTTTAGAATTTATATTTTTCCTCAAAACTTAAATACTGGATCATAGCAAAAATAGCGCATGGATAAAAATATTGAATATATTTAATTTGTACCAATATCACTAGTTCATGCATGATTAATTGCAAAAATGTATAAAGTAATACTAATTTTATTTAGTGTTTGAATAAAATGCATTATATCAGAGTTCTATGCACACAAAGAAATTACCTATTTCGTCTTTATCATTGCTGAAATACATTTACTGCAAGGATTGAGTTGGAAGCAGTAAGTTTCTCATTTATATGTTTTTCTATCTCATAGTAGTCTTTTTGACTTTTCTTCCTTACATATTCTTATAGGTACATGTGTTTTTTTTTAATATTTTCGCAATCTTTTGTTTTTTTTTTTGGGGGGGGGGGGTAGGAGGGAGGTTATAGCCCCGATAAAGTTATTCTTATGGATTCTTTGGTATTTATATAAAACCTCACAATGAAGTAAACCCATTTATGCGTCAAAGAAAATCAACTAAAGACATATAGGGGCTCAAGGACATTTTGCTGTTTGAGAAATGAAAAGGGTCTTAAAATATTTCGTGAATAGTCCTTTCTGATAAATATGTCTTCGTTTTTAAATGGAAAACCATGCCTTGAAAGAAACGCCTGCAATATGTTGGTATGCTACACGCAATGCATCTACGCTATCCGCCTACGATCGAGGCGCCATTTTCCTGATTTGTTGTGAAACGCGTGAGATCTTTGACTTTATTATATTCATTACCGCTCTCTCTTCAGATTTGTTTTATTTTTTTCAGTCTTATTTTAAAGAGTAACGTCACTTTTAAACAACAAGCTTATTATTTGTTTCGATTATTATGTAAACTGTATTTCTTCACTTTTTTCTTCTTTTTGTAAAGGAAAAGAACATAAGCCTAATTGCAATGCCTTTTTGCAAGCATTATATCCAAAATCGTTCCTTAAAAAGCTCTTCTCTTTAGGTGTGCAGTAGTGATTGTTAACATTGCACTTAAGGAAGGTTTGAGAAGGCATCCAAAATAGCATCTTGAAAAGTCAATTTTTGCAAATTGCGAGCAAAACTCAATGGTGTAACTTTTGAATGGATTCTTGTTGGACATCACAACGATTTTCACATTCAAACATTAAGAATTACGACAAAAAAATATATTGTATTACTTCGGAAACCTTGGTAGATCGGCAGCTACCTTAAAGTTTGTAAAAATCATATTTTTGTTTTTAATTTCCTGTGGGAGCAATTTATTGTAATCTTTTTTAGGAATCTATGTTTAAAGCTAGACTGTCGCATTTTGCTCTGAATCCGTAAAAACTGTCTTCTTATGATGATTCAAAGCCTTCAATAGTCGCAATGTGAGTAAATGAGATTTTTTTTTTTTTTTTTTTTTTTTTTTTTTTTTTTTTTTTTAAAGAAAAGGAGCATTTCAAAGACTGACAATAAATACGGTGCCACAAGTAATAATCTCTGAGGAATAACGGAGGGAATTTTGGACCCCTAATACATTCTGAATACCATTCTTGAACCTCTTTCGGTTTTGAGCTCCTTCTATGAAGCATGTAATAAACCCTTAAATTCAGCGATCTTCTGTATTTTTTTCCTATTCTTTCTGGGTTATATACGTTAAGGCCTCTTTTATAGGGCTCTCTGGCGCTCTGCGACATCTAGTTACCAAAGTCCCCTATCCTCCCAAAGCCCTTCAGGGAGTTTGCACTCTCCTATTTCTTCTAGAAGCCCCTGTCGCCAGACCTTCACTGGGCGAACCTTCCCCTCCCAGGAGGAACCCGATCAAGCATCTTCTTTGGCAGCCTTTCTTCCGTTCATTTCTGGTTTTATATGAAAATATCATTCTCTAGAGAGTTGCATGTTCTTTAGATTCTTCTAACCAGGGATTCTCCTTTCAGTGATCCTTTGAAGATTATCAGAACGTAGTTATGAATAGCGATTGTAAATTTTTTACTCACCGCTTGAAGTCTGATTTGCTCGAAGATGGTATCCAAACCCTTTTGGATCTCAGCGGGAATCGGTGGTGGGGTAGGAAGGTGGTCACCGGTTGCCCGGAATCCTCCCTCGTCGGCCACGTATTGGACGTTGATGAGGACGCCATCTGGTGAGGTGTACGAGTATGAACCGTGTTGCACCAAAGCTTCATGGTCTTTAACTCCGACGTTTTTCAAAAATCCTGTTTCCTCAGCTACGATGTGGTTACCAGTTTCATAGCTGAAAACACAACGGGTCTCTTAAAACATGGGTGTATAAATTATTGTTGACAAAATAATTTTTAAAAACCATCTTTGTGAATTTTCTATTGGCGTTGAAGCGAGATTTGCAATGTTTCAAGTCCGGATGTTGCTTAGTTTTCTTGTAAGAAATGAAACATAAGGTGAAAAAACGTCCGATAAGGTCAAAATATAACTCTGGTTAATGGCGTCTATTTATGGATGGATTTATTTGGAATCAGCCTAACCACGACCTAATTGTCTCTGATATTTTAGTTTAACAAATAGGGAAGCAACACTAAAACTGAATGGTTTGTATCTTCATCAAAACCAAAGATGAATTCAAAGAGACCTTATAAGTTGTAGGAATTCAGCTTTCGACCAATGCATCCTGAGTACGGTACGATCGATATTTTTCTAACTCGAACCTTTGAATGAATTATTTTTGGATAGTAAACTGTCCGCTCGTAGACTAATTATTGAAATTCCGTGCCGAAAATCATCTCCCAAAGTATTAAAACAAAGTTAGAAGCACTACTTCCAATTGAAAATCTAAATCGATTCATTGAAATTGGATGCGAAATGAATACAGTACATTTGACTTTATTTAAAGATTTTTTAAGATATTTCTCGGAACGAACATTTCTTAAGGTATACATTTACACACAAAAATGTCGATTTGTCTATAATAATCCACCAACTGGTGAAATTTGAATAATATCGATGCCTTGCCTAGAATGCATTGAGCAAGAGCTGAAAATCCACCTTAAAGACGGTGAGTAATTTAGTTCTTTCATAAACACACGAATAAAATATAAGAGAAAATTAGGCAACAAGAATTGCAGTTGAGCTAATTCCCGTTTTATCCGTCCGTTTAACAACTTAAACTTAACCTTTACTTTTTATTTTCTGGCTTTGCCAGAGACAACAGACCATACACTGGCCTCTTGGCAACAGGTGGAAGCTTTTACTTTCGGGAATTCAACATTTCCTTATGAACAATTATAAGGGCAGGGAGCAACAGTTATCCTCATTTTTCCGGCTATGGACCTACGTAATTGGTGGATGATGAACTTTGGGTGATGTCATGAGCCAAACAAGTTTCCCAAACTTCGGTTTGTTTGCAAAACGAAACTGCCAACACGTTGTCAACCATCAACAAAGCAGGTAGGTCAACAGTTGAATGTTGAAGTCCCCTAAAGTAAAGATGGGTTCCACCATCGCATTGGAAAAAAAAGTCGCTTGGATCTAGAGTCCACCCTCATTATAACATGGAAATGGTCCTAACTTGATTCAATCAGATTTTTCCTTGAATCGAAGAGCCGAGCCTCTTGATTTAGGCGGATTTCCTTTTGATAGTCCGATTGAATCAAGAGTATTTTTGTTTGTCAATGTTTTTAAGAGTCTGGACCCTCGGTTCAAGCGACTTTTTTTTCCAGTGCGCCAAGATACTAGCAGAAGGTCTCTTGTCTCTGGGCTTCGCATAGCTCGAGGAGCAAATTTTCAACGAAATTCGTCGGAGGGTCCCGCATTTGGCAATACAGCAATGCCGGCCGCAGCATTGATATGTTGATGACAGCTATGCAATCTGGGTTTCATCAAGAGATTTAGCACCCAAACCCGGGAGGTGATGCAAAACAGTGAATCAGTTTTGCATCCGAGCGCGAGCGGCCCCGTTTTGCAAGGAACGCCGGCCGCCGCGTCGGTGGGGGCTCCTCGACGACCGGCGTGAATCTGCCCCGGTCTCCCCCGGTCGGGCGAAACTGGTTTGCCGCCGTCTGACTTTGAACTGTGTCGCTCGTAATGTCCCATTGTTATCGGTGCAAGTTCTAGCAGATGTTCCGATAGCACACTCAGGGCTCCGTTTTGATTCATGTACCGATTGCAGACAGAGATTTCCATCGGGGATCTCAACACAGTGGGAGGCTGTTCAATTTTATGTGCTGGGAAACGAAGGGAGGAAAATCAAGATCCAAGGGTTCCCCGGACACTATGGATTTAGAGTGTCAGCACGACGCTATTATTGGACGCTCGAGGAAAAACAATAAGGTTAGAAGAGACCCACAGACAAAGAGAGGAATAGAGTCACTTTGTACTGAGAGTTAAGACAGCCCCCCTCATGGAGTCGCAAACGGGAATAAAGATTACACAAATTTATATAGTTTTTCCTTAATATTTGATCGGATCATTCTCAGATCCCTTTCCCCGTTCCTTCTCTCATTCCACTTGTTCCTTGCCGAACCAGCAATTCCCCAGTCCATTCCAGATCATAATCTTTGCGATTTGTGAAAATGTTATCTTCATTCCCGTTTGTGACACTGTGGAGGCCTAAAATACGGGAACTAATCAGAAATGGATTCACATTGTCTTAACTCTCAGTATGAAGGGACTCTAGAGAGGCCCTTTGTTCGTATCTTAGCAATGGTGGAAGCTTCTCCTTTTGGGGCTCCAACATTTGCCTGTTGACTTACCTTCTGTGTGGATGTTAATCCACAGTGGGTATTTTGTTTCGCAAACAAACTGAAGTTTGGTCAACTTGTTTGACTCATGACTTCATCTGAAGTTCAGAATTCACCTTGTAGATATAGATCAACAGCCGAAAAAAGGGTGATGACTGTTGCTGCCTTTTAATTGTCCATAAAGGACGTGTTGAATCCTCCGAAGTAAAAGCTTCTACCTATTGCCAAGAGGTTAGTGGAGAGTCTCTCTTTAAATCTGAAAAGTCTGCTGAGCTCTCTATCTACCACAGGCTAGACATCAATTCCTTGAAATTGAACTTTACCGAACTTAAACTGAACGGAAAATAAAGACTAAAGAAACACAAACCGGAGATTTAACCATACTTTAAGCCGGTATATAAAAATGCATACCATAGTTCTTTCCACCTTGGACTCATCAATTAGCGATACACATGTTTGCACTGGTTGCTTGATTTGAAACAAGAATGAAACGAAGGTGGAAGAAACCATGGCATACATCATTGCGGTGGATGACGTCATACGCCGTGCCGTTTTTTGAACGACGCCACCTCCGTTGATTTTGGACGTGGAAACTTAGCATTTACACAAATCTCATTCTTTTCCACTGATCTATAATCTGAAACCAGAAAAACGGAGTCATATGATTGACCCATCATTTCTTAACGTCGTTTTCCAGACGAAAGAACATAACTCAATTCCGAGGTTGCAAAATTGATCCGGCCAATTAAATTCTTACAAGAATTATGAATGTGCATTGTGCAATAAATACACCCCAATGACTCTAAAGCCCATAAAAAATGGCTCGGAGATCCATAATTTCTGACCAAAGTGACTTACTGTCCACAGTATGGCTTTTTCAGCCATACTTTATTGGTCATGAACCTATCAGCATGGCTCCATGATCCATAACTCGGCCGGCAAGTCACTCTTCCCATACTTGTTTTTTGAGTGTATCCAAAAACTTTATGATTTTGCGTATAATTACAAAAAAATCAGTGTTTTTTTTTAGTTAGTAGGTAATACCAAAAGTCATCTTGTAAATTCGATTTGCAAGTCGGAATTTTGCAACGTTGAAATAAAATTACGTTCTTTCCACCAAGAAACGACAATGGCGAAATCCTACAGAGCCGGATTCCGCATTTTGGTAAGACCGGATTCCCTCCATTTAAATCTATGTCAAATATTCGATTCTTGTCGAAGCACCTAGCCCCTCTAAAAATCGATACATTTCCATAGGTTTAAATGGAGAAAAACAATGTTGCCAATTTGCTGGATCCGCTAATGTTACTTTGGAGTTCCTGCCTCAATTACCCACCTCGCCTTGTAGCTTCCATCGAGGGACTGTTCCTTCTGGTAGCGGATGATGGGTATGACCGTCGTGTACTCGGCCCTCGAGAGGAGACGAGCTGGGGCCTCGGGAGTGGAGTACTGTTGGACGAGGTTCTGGGCCGGCGTGACGGCCACCGGTGATGGAGTGCTCTGGTAAGTCGCAGCGGCCGGGCTCTGGTCCTGAACCACGATCGGCCGGTTCTTCAGCGCGGAATACACGTCAGCTGCGCTGGGCTCCGGCCGATACTGCTGGTACTGCTGGTACTGCTGCTGTTGGTCGTACTGTTGTTGCTTTTGGTCATACTGTTGTTGCTGCTGGTACTGCTGTTGTTGCTGGTACTGAGGCTGAGCTTGGCGGTATGACTGACGCTGGGCCAGCGTCACGCTCAGAGTGAGAAGGAATGGGACAATCTGGAACAAGAAGAGATCGAATTATGAACGGAACGAACACTTTAGCAATCTGGAGTTGCCAAGTAAGAGTTAAGACGTTTATATATGAAGTTGCTTCTACAACGCACTTTGGCGTTCTGCGACACCCAAACGCCACGTATGTCTGTCTTCCCAGAGGTTATCGGGCAATAACTGACACCGCAACATCTCCTCGTCAACGCCCTGCCGCCATCCCTTTACGGGACGTCCCCGTCGCCTCTTCCCAGGTGGTACCCAATCCAAAACTTGTTTGGGCAACCTCTCCTCCGACATTCTTTGCACATGTCCATACTATGTACTTAACATAATAAATCCATGACTCGTACTTTTCTACTCTTACGTTAAAGTCTCCTCAGAAACTTACCGCACTATGTTTATACATACTGCTGTCATTGCCGAGTGCTTTTCATTCTTTCGAATTAGTAGTCCAAGGATTCAAGAATTTTCAGCTACCAGCGCTTTCGGTCCCTTGTTTTTGCATTAAAGTACAATCAAGGCCGCAGAGAACATGCTCTGAAAATCGATTTTTAAAAAAACGCAATAGTGTATTTCCTTCGGAAAATACACTAAAAAATTGATGGGCACAAATGTGGAGGAGGTAGATTACTTTTCAATTAGAGAGTTCTAAAACGAATCAAAAAACCTACGTAGAAATAAATCATAATGCGATTCCCGTTCAAAAGAATAATTCGCCCATCGAGTTAAAGATATATTAACTCTCGTTTATATTTTTGCTGAGTGATTTCGGGGGAAGGAGGCTGAGAAAAGGATCGTGGCTGTTTACATATTCAAATGATGGACGGTCAGTGTTTGATGGTGTTTATTTTTAAATTAAATACGCCTCTCCGCGCCTCTTTACATTAATATCGAGTGTAGGGGTCAGAGAGGTCCCCTTGAAATGAAATGCCGAAAAAATTATGACATGCGCTTGCGCAGTACGGTGAGTCATCAGCACCTATAGGAGCATCGAAGGGAGTCGCGAAAACAACTAAAATATGCAAATAAACCTCAGATTTATTTCGCGGTTGACAGGTTGCCGAGAAAAAATTCAGAATCCTCTTGTATTAAGTGATTTGCGAATCTTGTATCGCCGTCTTTGGTGATTCAACTTCGTTTGTGTAAATGGATTATAAGTTTTAAAATTAAACGGATGGCTTATCTTTTTGAATATACCACCTAGATGCAATGAAATCACAACTCAAATGGAGCATAACTAAATTTTCAGTTGAATCCGCACACCGAATGTTTAAAACTTTAAAAATTGGTTCGATATTTCAGGGCAAGCTGAAATTGTGATACATTTTTGGAATGTATCATTGCGAATCCAGAGATACACAGACATAACCGGGTGTAGCTTATTGTATGACATGTTTAACCTATACATTGAGCATAGTTTTCGGAAAGCCTGCGACAATACATGATAATAAGATAACATTAAAACATTTTAAGGAACAATTGTTTATTCCGCACCTGATGAAGTATGTCATATTAGAGATCAATTAAACTCCTGTCAGAGAGGAACACGGTGTATCCATACCAAATTACGTAAACTATATGTATGTCATGAAATTAAATATGATATCAATTAAGAACAGGAAAATGTATTCATTTTACTAAAAATTTAAGATTTCCTTTCATTTTTTTTTTGTTTACTTTTTTGTAAATTTATTTTCTAGAAGTCATAATCTAGCAATCTATTCTTAGAACTGAGGAGCGGAATACATGCGTACGTTTGCATTTGACAAGGTGGAAGGATATTGCTGGGTTCACCCATTTTTTCATAATAACACACATGTATTATTTATATTTCAAAATTTAGAGAAGCCCGTATTAATGTGTTTAGATATATTTTTATTTTTGCATTCGAGTTTCACAGTTTTTAGTTGTAACTGAAAAAAATATATTTTCAAGACCTCATTGCCAAACTTTAGAAATGTGACACCTTCGTTTTATATATATCTCCATAACTCCACAGCTCAGAAAAAAAGTAAAACTAAGATCAAGCGGCACCTTCGGTATTTGGAGGCATTGACAAGTGTTCATACAAGTCACAATCTTAACATTTTTTGGTCAGAATTACCAAGAATTGAACGCATCTGTCTCGCGCCTTTTTTGGACTAATTTTTGCTGAAGTGTACATTAATCGGACGTAGTACATGTCCACTAAGTTGATCAACTATCCGATTGAGGGCTATAAAACTCTATAACATTCACGGAATATTCAATGCTTGATGCCTGGTGGGCTTTGAACGCGCCGCCGAATTTTTCGAATGAACGTCCCGCCTCGCACTTAGCACGGACATGGCAAGTCAAGTGCCCTAGTGTCGCGAATGGACTCCGCAAAGCACTGCTATTTCGACATATTTGACACTCTTCATCGCACCTTTTTGTTTGAGTAAATAATTTGTCAGGCGATTTCCTGCATTTTTAAAATTGGGGAGCAAATTCATTACAGGACTCAATTTTTTATTTCATCTCATCACTTTAATATCAACCGGTTTTATGTTGTAGGTGATCCAAACAATTGCGCAAGTATAACAACTAAGCAAATCATTTCCTTGTATTAATAATCTCAATGATTATGAGTTAAATTTACCCACTCTTTTAGTAGCAATCAAACTCATATAGTCTACTTTTTACTTATTACTTTATAGTCTTCTCACATTAACAGCGTATTTCAAGTGAAATTTTGTGTTGTGGAAACTGATAGGTCGAAACGTTGAGAATTCGCTTGCTAGGATGTGTTCCACGAAGATATTTAAACATGTGACTACGGAATCTGGTATCTTTAAGATAGATTGTACCTACTTAGTCGTGACATTTTAATCATTTTGTGCGTAATTAATTTTCGGAAATCTATCAGAAATTTACTAAAAATGTAATAGCTCTCCGTCGTCTCCTCTTGTGTCTAAGATACTTCAAGATTTTAATGTTTGACATGGTTAGCAGAAAATTTAGAGACCTTGCATTAAAGTGAGTAGCATGTTTTCATTTATTTAGACTATCCACAAATACCTCAAATACGTACAAATGAATCATCATATGTGGTCCTACTGATCGAAAGACACGAGTGATGTGAATAAATGATAGCTAGAAATACTTAATTTTAAAGGAAAATTACAACATTTATTTTGAGATTTGATATGAAAATTCTTTGCAATTTGAGGGAAATTCCTTCAAATTTTCTACAAGAAAAATGCATCTTTAAATCAATGAAGAAATAATGTGTCAGGTTAAACTTTGAAACATTGCAATGCAATCAAGTAGGTACTTTCATCTCACCTTAGGCATCTGAACTCTTTGTCCTATCCTTATGGCTACCGTCTTCCCCGGCAAGAGATGTAAAACTCACGCATTACCCCTTTTGGCTAGGACAAGCGTCCTAACATCAACATCCACAATCAGAATAACCAAACACCGACCAATTAAAGGTTACTCAAGTGCCACGCTCAGTGCATTGCACCATGGGTTTATTTTCGAAGAAATGCCGTATGAGTGTGTGCTGTATGGGGACTTACTCCCCATTAACTGGTCATCATCTGACATTCCCTCGGTGATCTATTGACACGCTTGCACAACGTGAGCTTTCAGTCTTCAAGACTTCGCAACCGTCGCTGTGTTCCAGACTGGTTGAAAACCGTTTAGTAGCGTTGCGAGCATTTGAACAAGATAGATCACTACACCACTAGCGGAGGCATGATACTATTAGCACCACTTATTTGAGAAGAAAGCGTAATACGCAGCGAGAATGGCGTCTCCAGTGATCGGTCCTGTTAGGACTCGTCTTCCAAGTGATTTATGCGCGGCTAACGAACCTGCTTGTCGCTCCTCCTTTTCATGGCGGCAGATCCAAAAATGACCTTTGGTACAGTAGACCCTCACAACTTTTTAAAGGCCTGGCTTTCAAAAACATGTTATATTGAAAGACCATGATTCAAATGAAAAGTCATGGAAATTACTCCTTAACGGCGAAACTCTCAAACCACGTATCTCGTTTGCGGTGTCTAAAAATCTCTGCTCCCATTTCTTTTTTTACAGGTAAACGAATCAACATCATTCCGTAAAGTTTCTGCAGAATTTCCTTTGCGCAGATGAGAAAAATCGTGGCAGTTTTTAAAAAACACCGTCGAGTAGTTTTCCATTTAAAAAATAAAATACGACAGGAAGGCTGCAACCTTGCAAACCGAGATACGTGGTTGGGAAGTTTTAGCGTCGTGCTGCGTTTTTTTAAATTTGAACCAAATTCTACACTCAGATTATTTTGAAAGCAACTTCTCGAACCCCCTTTTTAAGCTCAAAAATGTTCACTATCCTCACAGTTCATTAATGCAAGTAAAACCTTGCTGTTCTGTATCCTATTTAAATGAGTAAAGCTGTTTCATGATTTTTCCGTATCACCTTAATTTTTCATTGTCACCAAGTCATCATTTTTTGGTGTAGGATTGGATGACAATTTTCAGTAATTAAAACAATTGACACTGGGGACGGTAAAGGAAATTTAACCGCAAATTCGGAATTTAAGACACCGGACTTAGAGAGCGGAAGTAAATATAAACTCTCCGGCAAAAACATAGTGCAGGAATGTCATGGCAAACCGCAAAAGATTAATCTGAGAGCACTGCAATCTGCAAAGTGAATGAAAAGCTAAATGCCTGGTTGCAAAATTGTGCAAATGAGAATACTTTCTCTCTCCAAGAGATCCCTAGGCTGCCTTTATTTTTCATGTAATGATTTTGCAACAAACTTTGCCGTATAAAATTCCTAGACTCCTAATGTTTCAAGATTCGCCTATTCCAATCCAACCGTGGTTATTGTGCACTCGCGGATATGGTTACTCTGTTCCGGGCCGAGAGAAATACCATTGAAAACAATCAAGTTTGAAAGAGTGTCTTCTCAGTGTCAATCTTCGCCATGGGCAAAGTTATTGTCGATTCTCGAGTAGATCATACAAGTTGAAACCGCGTTTTGGGAAATGTTTTCCC